AATTGGTCGTAGTAGTTTCCGGCATGTAAAAGTGTGGTCTCACTGGGACATCATTTTTATTTTATTGGTACATCGCATTCTAGGACTTTAGTGAGTGAGATTTTGATTGAGGATTTATTACAATTTGGCACCACCGAGAGGGAACATGCTGCTAATGAGGCCTTAGCCTAGATCTTAAGGTTGAAGCCGCGAGAATAATAAATATTATGTCAGAGCCAGTGCAGTGTTGTGAAGAGCGTGAATCGAGGAAAAGCGACAAGCCCCTTTTCGCTTAAAGCGAGAAGCGAAGCGTTCGTTTTTTTGAAGTGAAGCGGAATTTAAAAAAAATAAATTAAAATAAATACTGCATAGACAACACATGTAAGCAAATGTTCAATACTTCAATGTAAAAACTAAAGAGTAGCATCAATTTAAGCACAAAATGAGCATCCTATTCTTCTACAGAATTGTCAAATTCTTGTATTCCACTATCATTATTATATTGCTCGTCATCTCTTCAACTTCTTCTTCTTCATCAACTAGGGACAAAGTAGCTGCTTCTTTTCCCTTCCACTGTGAGCTTGAAGTTGAGGTACTACCCTCAAATCATAAATCCTCTCCCCAATTCCACGCGCCTCCGCAACATCACCCCGAGTGAAATCAAAAGTTTCCTCAAATACTTCTTCATCTGCATGATCTTTTGGGACTCCAGTTAGCCATTCATTAGCATCATCGATGTTGTCCAATCTAATTGGATCAAGTACATTGCGAGCGTTGTAACGACGCTTCAATGTTTTATTGTACTTAATGAAGACTAGATCATTGAGACACTTCAAGGTTAGTTTGTTCCTCTTTTTGGTATGAATATGCAAATAATAAGTAATTAGAAAGATTAGGACCATTGAGATATAATTTAATTATCTCAATATACTAAATCTTTCTTCTTAGTTCTTACATGTTCAAACACGCTCCAATTCCTTTCACACCCGGATGAGCTACATGTTAGACTTTGAACCTTGATGGCAAACTTTTGTAATTCTGGAGTGGAATGACCATATTGCTTCCACCATTCAACTGTAGAAGTAGAACAAATATTCAAAACATAATATTTATAAAGAAATAACCTATTAACTATAAAGCAACATATAAGCACTCGCTCACCTGGTGACTTCATCTTTCTTTGTCTAATAGCCATGTTTTTTCCCAAAAGTTGCTCAGCATTCCTATAAGTACTAAATTGCTCTGTTATTTTATCTTGCACGGATTCTTCAGGTATCAACTTCTCAATACATTCAATGTATCCACTCCACAATTCTTCATCTCCTATAATCCTCTCTTCATTGTCATAAAACAGTTCCGGGTTCAAAACAAGTCTAGCTGCATGCAAAGGTCGATGAATCTGACCGCTCCACCTTTTATCTATGATCTCAAAGACTCTTTTATATTCTTTTTATCACTAAAAGAGTCTCGAATAGCCTTCGTTGCCCTATCCATTGCTTCGTAAAGGTAGCCCATTGGTGGTCTTTGCTCCCCATCCACCAAACGAAGCACTTTAACTAAAGGACCACCAATTTTCAAATGCATGAACCACATTGTTCCATAATGTAGTAGAAAGCATAATATCTGCAGATTCTCTCCCTCGAACTTCCCTTCCATAGGCATTGTTAGTGTAAACAAACAACTTCTTCAAATTGCTTTTTTGCTCATACATCCTATGCAAAGTCAAGAAAGCGGTAGCAAATCTTGTCTTTGCAGGTTTCATCAAGCTTCTTTGTTTAGTGAATCTCTTCATCATATTCAATAACAAAGGCCTTTGAACGATATAGGAATGCACTCTAATTGCCTGATTAAAAACCTTTTCTTGAAAATGTCAGGAAGATCAAATTAATGCAATGTGTTGCATACGGAGTCCAATAAATATGTGGGTACCCTACAGACATCAAATCACCGGCTTTAACATTTTCACTGGCGTTGTCCGTGACAACTTGAACAACATTTTCTGCTCCAATAGAGTTTATTGTACTCTTGAACAAGGAGTACATTTTGGTTGAATCAGCAGAAGAGTTGCTTGCATCAACGGACTCAAGAAACAAGCTTCCGTTAGGAGAATTCACCAAGATATTGATGATCATTTTTTCATTTCTTGCCGTCCACTTATCCATCATAATGGAACAACCAAACTTGTTCCATTCTACTTTGTGCTCCTCCACGATTTTGTTAGTCTCTTCCACCTCTTTTTTTAGATATGGACCTCTAACTTCATGATAAGTTGGAGGCTTCATTCCTGGACCATATTGGCCTATAGCCTCAATAAAAGCAGAAAAAAGTGTCAGTATAATTAACACAATTAAAAGGAAGACCTGCATCATACATCCACCGCGCAAACATTGCAACTGCACGATCCCTCAAAATCGCTTTGGCATCAATTTGAGGATTACCATTTTTCCCTCCCATATCTCCTGGTTTTTGCGAGAAATAGCAATCCATAGGACCTTTAGTCTTACCAGTAGATCCACAACTAGAAGACATTGTTTGTATCCTTCCCCGCTTTTGTAATTTTAATGGAAGCAACGAACTATCGTCACCTTCTTCTATTTCATCATCGTCATCATCAAGATTATGCAATTCTTGTTCATGAAGCATTTGAGTCTTTAACTCCTTTTTTTTAAAGGTATGCTTTCAATTCTTCCTTCACATGCGGCGGAACTCTAGGACAAGATGCGACGCTTAGATCACCACCGATTAGATACACTTTTTGACGATAGATTCCCCCATTCGAAATCTTGTCACAAAAAAGACATCTAATTGCCATTTTATTGGTCTCGCTAACTCTTGCAGAATAAACCCAAGCCGGGTCTTTCCTATCTTCTTTTGGTGCCATTAAAAGAACAACTACATAACACATAAGAAAGACAATAAGAACTAAGAATAAATGATATGAAAAAAATGGCAGTAAGTATACGAAAAAGGGCAGTATAACTGAAACGAAAAAATGGGCAGAAAGAACTGAAGGGGAAAAAAAATTTCGCCAGCATTTCGCTGCTATTTGGACACTGAAACAATGAAAGAAAAAAAAAAAAAAGGAGGAGGAGGAGGAAGAAGAAATCACATACCTGGGATCAAACTTGATGATCTTGAAGTTGAAAAGTGTAGAAAACTTGAACCCTAGGTCGCCTCTGTTGTTCTCTGTTGCTGCTGCTCAATGGTCTTTTAAAAAAAGACGGCCTTTTTAATTAAATACGTTGGCAGCCCAGTTATAAAGAGAAGCGCTCGCTTCTTACGCTCGCATCGCTTCATCGCTTCTCGCTTTTTCAGGAGAAGCGAACGCTTTTGTAAATCTGATACGCTTCAGTTAAGAGAAGCGCCACATGCCTCGCCTCGCTTCTCGCTTTAAGCGAGGAAGCGGTCACTTTTTACAACACTGGTCAGAGTTGTAGAAATATGGTTTTCTTTCGTCAAACTGGCATATTCCCTTTCGTACGCCTGTATGTGAGCAGGTTCGTGTATGTTCCACCCATTGTTGCCATGAGCAGTACTGTTGTTTTTCTGGGGTAAAAAAGGACAGTCATGGTGCCATAGCTCCAGTTATTCTCTTCTTTGATTTATGCCATTTCTCATTCAGAAAGTGGAGGTTCTATTGCAAGTTACTCTGATATTTTGGGTGAAGAGAAATGTTCTTTCTTAGCTCTCCTCAATGCGTACTTCGTTGTTTTATACTCTACTTCTTGTAAATTCTCAAACATTTAAAAAGAGTATACACTTGAAAAAATGTCATTTTTACGTATGAAACAAGTAAGAATCAATTTTACTGGCTTAAGTAAGAATCAATTTTACTGGCTTTAGATGAATCTTTGGTTATTTGGTAAGTTCTGATAGTGCCATAATACTGTCGTTAAAGTTTTGTTTACAGCCGTAGTAGGTTTAGTTTGGAATAAGCTACTTTTTATCTACTTAAGTGAAGGAAAACTTACCTGGTGGATGATACGATGGGGCCAGGGATATTTATCAGAAATAGGGGTGAGGGCGGTGAGGATGCAATTCGTTCGATATATTGCATGAATTAAAAATGGATAGAATTCCTTTTCTCATTTTTACTTTTTGAGAAGGAAATGTGTCATGGAATGTAGTCTCTGTTTCTGGTTAGTACGGTAAATGTCCAGCAAGGATAGGGACTCCCATATATGGAGATTGGTCATAACCATGGTTATAGGTGACGGAGGAATCATGAAAGTCTAATTTTCCTGTTTCCCCTACCATTTCCAATAAGAGATTGATTAAGTTGGGACATCTTTTCGACTGAGTCCACCACTCTGCTGCTAGTTCCAGCGCCGAGGAGTGAGTTGTGACATTAGTGCCAAAGTTTAATCTGTAAAAGTAGATGGTTACAGGAATTCGTGCCACTTTTTCCTGTGTTTAAGAGTAATGCAGAGTTGAGCTGATTCATAGTTATTTTCTTTGTTTTTCTTTTGTAATACAACAATTTAATGGTCAAGTATATTTTGTAACACTAGAATGCTTCAAGTAACATGATATCTTGATCTTGGTTGCACCAGGTGAAATTAGATGACAAAGTGGCCTACAAAACTGGACAGTGAAGACTCGACAAAATCCAATAGACTTGTGAGCCTATAATGGAAATACAGTTGATGAATATCCTCCTTTTTAGGTTTGACGAGGTCTTCTATTGGGGTATATACACCCTTTGTTCTAGGCGTGTGAATCCTGTGTAGGTATATCTTTGAATGTGAGGCTTTTTTTCTTTTGGGTGTTTGCAATTTTTTTTTTCTTTTCGAAAGATTAGTTAAACAGTAGACTATTCACCTGAATGGATCCAACTAACGCGCACCAAAGATTATGGAATATGTATTAGCAATATTGCTTGACGAAAGAATATACAATACAATGGCGAGTTAGCCTAGTAGGAAGCTGATTGCTGATGTGAGCTAATGTTTAAAAAGTAAAAGCACTCTTCCGTAATAGACAGATTAGCTAACCATCAAGAATACAATAGATAAAATACATTGGAAGCCTACGGAAGATAAACAAAGTCAGGCCATGTTGATTATTGAAGCATAAGAAGCAATAAAGAGAAAGCATAAAGAAAGAGGAGCTGCCATATTGGTTGAAGTTGCATCGTTGGAACCACCTTGTGATGACGGCACTGAATTAGAACCACCTGCTGTCAACATAGTTGAGGGCATTATGTTAAGCATTTTGTAAAACCAAAATTTGACTTTCCCGAAGAAGGGCAGAATTTAAAGAAACTAGTGTAGCCTAGTGCATAGGGAATTTGGTTGTCCAGCAGAGAGCCAATTGGTGAACCAACTGTTCTTAGGGAGCAGTGTCAGGATTGTATGCTTTGTGTGTTAATAAGTTAAATGCAGGGATTTTAGAATGAACCTTCTTCTTACCATTGCAGCGGCTAGCAGGCGGAGTCTGAACTTTGCAAGCAGTAGTGAGGGCCGAAGCCTGAGTTTGGTTAATGTTGGAGTCACCCCCATTGAGGACCTGACACAAGCATTCTGGTTTCTTATCAACCACAGTGCTAAGCTGCGTGCAGCAACCTGAGAATTGCGGCGAGGAGTTCCCTGTGATGTAGTTCATGCAAGGTAACATGCTGACCAATACGTTCGTGCAGTCATCACTTTCTTGAGCAGTTACTCCTACCCAGATCATCGCCAACACAACCAAGGTTGCTCCCATTTCATTCCTTTGACTTGCCATTCCTCTGGTACTCGGAAATCTCGGAGAAATGACGAGAAAAATGTTTTCTGTCTAAGAAAGTCGTTGATCTCGTAATCTTGATCGAGAAGAACTGTGTGCTTGGTCTAATAGGAAAAAGGAGGTGGAAGACACGAAGAGTACTCAACTAAGATATGTTAATAAATCTACCATTAAAGAAAACAAGTTTTCACAGATAGACATTGATATTCGTTTTGATATTTTACATAGGAATTAGGTAGAAGTGGATAAGTGGTTAGTTATATGGCTGACCAACTCAGGCCAACACTCTGTACCATGATTTGTTTGGTGGTCATAGAAAAACCTAAGGATTCTGCTCAAAGGCGAAGACCTTTAAGAACTGCAAGATCAAAGTGTAAATCCTTTATCCATCACATGCTTCTAACTTCTGAGTTTTGACTGTATCCACAATTTTCAAGTGATATTTGCCACGTAAAAGAATCTATACATAGAAAGGGAAAACCTTAGGAGTCTATAAAATTCTATGATAACATCTCCGTCTATGATAAAAGAATCTTCCTTTTTTTTCTATAATTTTTAATTTTTTCACAGCTTGAGCCATGATTCACTTCTTTTTTCTCTCTTCAAACTCTTTCCTGAAGAAAATTATTGTTTCTTTCCGAGACTGTTCCCCTGAAACCATTTTTAATTATTATTTTTTAGGTGCTAGTATTTCCTAATTATCATCATGCCTAAATTCCTAATATTGCCTATGGATATATATGAGTTACAGAGTAAATTCGTGAATGTGCTTCTTGCACGCAGGCATAAAGCTGAAAGCTCAAACTGAAACTTTAGAAATGTTCAAACTTTTGGAGTTCTCATTGCTAGGAGAGTAAATTGAAAAGGATACAAAATACATGTAGTAATATAAATCACTTCACAACATAACATAACATAACATAACATGACAGTACATAAATACATTACTTCTTTAGAACTCCTAGATGAAACCATGAAAAGAGAGAAGGAACAAACAATTTGAAGAGGGAGATTTAAGGGGCTTCCATCAGAGGTACTGCTACTCCCTGTTGTCTTCGAGCCTGCTCAATTCATCGATAAGTAAGATGTCATAAACATACAATCATAGATAATTAGTACTATGATCTCACAAATATACAAACAAATTAACATAGATGATTAATTATAGTTGTAATTCGTGGATTATAATTGATCTTCGCTATTTTTCATTTCTTCTTTTTACTGTTTGCTTCCTAATAATTTTAGTACTTTAATTTAAAACAAATATCATATATTTTCTCTTGATTAGGACATGAACTATATATATGCTAAAAGGTTGACATACTCTGGTGATATTACTTTACACCCGCAATCTATATATAGTTGCAGATCTTTCGACCTTAGTTCTTGTAAATTGCTTCAACTTTGTAGACTTAGGTTAAAGAATTGGTCTTATAATACTCTGGTGCGTGCAATGTTCATGACTTAATTACCTGAAAACGATGAACCAGTTTAAGAATCTGCTGTTCTGTCGGAAGTACTGAACCCACTGGTGAAGAACCCATTGGCATTGGAGGCATTGCCGGTCCATTACCAGCTGTATCAAATAGTATTAGCAGAGAAATTGTGCATCAATACAGAATTAGAGAAAATATTGAAGGTAATTGCTAAACACTTGTAGTACAAGTGCAATATGCATACCGACTTATAATTTGGATAGAGCATGTCTCAAAATCACGTTAATTTACTCCCTTTAATTTATATTCCGCCAGTGTTGATTGAGCATAAAGTTTAAAAAAGAAAGACATTTGTCAAAAGTATCTTTAAAACTCGTGGTTTTATTATAAATGCCATGACATTTATATGTCTATATAGGAGCATGTCATTAAAGATAAAATATGTCATTCTTTTTGGAATACACTAAGAAAAAAAGATGTGAGATACAAAATGAAATAGACGGAGTATATACTAGCTAATAGCCTAATATTAATTGTTAGAAACTTAGTGAACTGATAATATATATTTCGTATATCACTTACCATAACATCTACTAACAGGAGGAGTTTGCAGGTTGCATGCTCCAGGCAGTGCAAGTGCAAGAGTTTGATTAATTTGGACGCCCAACGACGAACCGCCTCCATTAGCAATGGTGCAAAGGCACCTGGGCTGCGACTGCAGCACGCCAGACAGGGCGGAACAGCAAGAGCTAGACGGTGTTTTTGAATTTCCAGTGACATAGCTAAGGCATGAATACATGCTAAAGAATGCGTTCATGCATTTGGATTGAGCCATTGCTCCTGTTGAAATCATGCTCACTATTGCAACTAAAGCCATGCAAATTTTGATCCTTTTCGATGCCATATTTTGGTCTTGTGACAGATATGTTTATAATTAATTTTCACGCACAACAACTAAGGGAAAACAAAGAAATATTAGACTAGTTGCTTTGCTTCTTTTGTGGAGTGGGGGGGCTGGAGATTTATACATTTTGCTAGGGGTGATTATTTGTCTTCTGATTACAGAAGGAATACATTGGTTAACTAATAAGGGTTCATATGAGGTAAGATTTCCAATAACGTGTCATTAATTCGGTGTCATTAACCCGTATAGCATAAGCACTGGCTGATAACCTAACTCCTAAGCAATGGAGTAGATAACTTTGTTGACTTATGTTATTATGTTGTTACCAATATAATCTCTCTTTTATTTGGGGTCTTCGATAAAAAAAAAAAACATTAGGACTAGCCGAGGCAGAAAATTAATATGTCGATAAGAATTTTTAAAAATATGAAATTGGAAACATGCAATGTAGGAAAAGAGTAGTATATGCAAGAAAAATATACAATCAAACATCTCAGTGATGACATCGTTTGTTTGAAATTTTTTTGGCTGCTATAACATAACATGATAAATCCGTTCCAAAGATAACTTGGCCGTTATAGTGAAATGTTGTTATAGAGGAGGACTGTTATAGAAAGGTCTGACCATGTATTTAAAACATTCGATAGTAGAGAATTCATTCAGCAGCAACCATTTCCATTTACCTGCATACTAATTATAAAAATCAGGTTCAAAGTAGTTAAAGGACCAAATATATAGCAGCATTTCACTTTCTATAGCTAGTTGATACTTTCTCTGACTCTTTTTAATATACTTCAGACTTAGTTTTTTTTTTTTTTTAAAATAAAAAGAAGAAGAATAAGAAAGGAATACATCTAACTGATTAAAACATATATAAAAAAAACTATTAAAGAACTTTCGAAATCCAAATGCAATTTAGAGAGAGAGAGAAGTCTTGCAAGGTGACCTAATTAAACAGTCCATCATTTGAAGTAATTAGTTAAGGTAGTTGAGCTCCAAAACTACCACTTTGAACCTGCATATTTCTTCTTATATCTCAATTAGCCATCTATAAATCACTTCTAATCAATGTCTTCCATATCCAACATCCAGCTTATATACAATCATCTTTCCTCCTTGCACGTTCCCTTTTAACTTCTCCAAGTCCTTTAAATTCAAACAAAAATGTTAGTGTTAAAATTCTTAAAGAACTTTCAACTATTAGTATCAATCTTGGCTATTGTTTTAAGCAGTCAATTAGTTTCAGGGCAGATTAGTACAGCGTGTAGCGGTGCAATGTTACGTAGCTTTAGCCCTTGCATAAACTTCATTACGAATGGTGGAAACAATTCTTCACCAACTTCAGATTGTTGCAGATCTCTCAAGTATGTCATGAGTAATGGAACAGATTGTCTCTGCCTTATTGTTACTGGAAATGTTCCTTTTCGCGTACCCATTAACAGGACATTAGCAGTTTCCCTTCCCAAAGCTTGTAACATGGCTGGTGTCCCCCTCCAGTGCAAAGGTAATCAAGTTGTTTTCTTCTTTGTTTTATCAACCAATTTCTTATTAGTCATACTTGCTTCAATTTGTATGACTCTATTTTCGAGGGTAGTCTTTCTTGGCGACTCTATTTTTTATTTGTAGTGACTAAAATTGCTCAAAAAGCGATTTCGAAAACTTTAGCAGTCGCCGCGAATAAGTCTATTCCTGGCAATCTTCTAGTAGCCCCACGAAAAGTCTTTTGTGACGACTTAAGCCCCACAAAAAGTCTCACTTGTAGTCATACTTGCTTCAATTTGTAGCTTGTTAGCTAGAGTATATTGGCATCATAAGGTTAAAATGGTCATTTGACTTGGAGAATTTTGCTTGATAATGAACTAATATGCATTCTTAAGCAAAAACTTCACAATCTTTTTGGTGGTTGGCCTACTATGAATATTGGAGTGAGATTACCTTTCAGAATTAAAAAAAATGTTTCTTTTTTTTTCCTTACCCTTGAGAGGTTATTGAATGTTGAGCAAATTGATTAGGGCACTAACTCTGAATTGTATTACTATATACATTGCAGCGTCTGCTTCCCCTATTCCAGCTCCAGGTACAAAAAATAACTCTGGCTCGCACTAGCATTTCCAGATTTTAGTAACACAAGAAAATAAAAAGAAGATTAAAATCTTCAATTGGCAAAATATTGGGATTAATAAAAAGCTTCTGGCTGACAGGTCCAGCTGCCTTAGCACCAACAAAATCTCCTAGGTCACCCCCATCTCCTAGTCCTGAAGGTAATTAAAAGTCTGATTTTTCTGGTGAATCTAACTGAACTTGCTGAATTTTAAGTGGGTGTTATTGTTTCTTGCATATGGCAGCTGCCAATGTTCCTCAGCCATTCACACCTCCTTTGGGATTGGGACCAGTGGCTGATACAACACCAGGTAATCCTAATTCAGGTTTAACACCACCTTCCCCAACAGACAGCTTTGGAAACCCTGATGATAATTCAGGATTCAAGCCTGATTTGACACCATCAACGGCCCCATCTTCTGATAGATTTTCAACATTTGTTCTTCTAGCAGCCTGTGGAGCAATGGCTTTCAAGTTCTACTAAATTGCCAACCCACTTTGTCTTTTTCTTTTTTTTTTTTCTTTAGAACTTGCTTGTAGTTTATAATCATTCTTTGGAGATCATGTATACATGAGTTTTGCACTGTTTTGATAATGTCCATTGTGGTCAAGTTTCATGGAATATAATGAATATGAGGTTTCAAGATGTCAGTTTTGACGTATATGTGGAGCTTGAATTTTTCACCTTACCACTTTATGTAAATTTGACAAGGCATTTTGGAGCTTGAATTTTTCGAAGTGCAAAAACTGCATGTCCTAGTACAGAATCTGAGTGAAATCTATTTGCTAGTACAACCTCCAAAAGTTTTCAGCCTCTTAGCTATTACTGCAGTTATTTCCAACCATCAGACCATTCAGCTTCATCCATAACAGGGTCTGGGATGTATTCTGACTGGTGAACTGTACCACATTGAACCTCAGGAGATGGCTGAAGACTCTGTTTCCCTTCATTTTCACAGGTGCCTCCGTCGTTACAATTCTTGGCTTTGTCATAATCCCAATTGTTAGCTTGAGCCCCTTCACAGTCCCAACTTTTAGCTTCTGCTCCTTCACAGTCCCAATTGTTAGCTTGTGCCCCTTCGCAATCCAAACTTTTAGCTTGTGCCCCTTCGCAATCCAAACTTTTAGCTTGTGCTCCTTCGCAGTCCCAATCGTTAGCTTGTGCCCCTTCGCAGTCCCAATCGTTAGCTTGTGCCCCTTTGCAGTCCCAGTTATTTTCTTGAGCCTCGTCATCACACCAATTATTTGCTCGTCCAGAATCCTCTTCAAGGATCTCCAGTCTTTCAGGTAAGAAGCAGCCCTTATAGGAGCCATTATCTGCACAATACCATAAAAGCTTGTTCCAGTAGGGGTCCTGCCATATCGTACATGTCATTAAATATTTGCATTTCTCACTCATAAATAGCAATTTTAGCAAAATTAGCCTCATGATTCATAAGTTTAAGCTCCACATATGCCCACAACAATTCAACTTTTATGAATGACAGTAACATTTAGCTCCCTGAGAATATTTTCCTCCTCCGTTGCCAACAATAGATATTACCAGGACCAGGAAAATAAACAAAAAGGATAGACAGAAACTTCAGCTTTACTGTGGCATATCAAATCTAGATTGATACTTACAAGTTGCAATAGCAGAAATTAATACAGAATTACCTTGCAGATGATATGTGGATTCCCAATAACTACAAGCAACGATCTGGCTCTTGTAGCAGCAACATTAAACCTTCTCGGATTGCTTAAAAATCCTAAATAGTGGATTCTATCAAAATCATTGTGTGTTACAGTTGATCGGACGGTCGAGATAATAATAACTTCTCTCTCCTGACCTTGGAATTGCTCAACACTACCGACCTTTACATTAGCCCAATCGAAACTCTCAAGGGCTTTTCTTATTTTCTGTACTTGTTGCCTGTAAGGTGTTATCACCCCAATATCTTCCTCTTTCAGACCTTTGTTCTCTATCAGATCCCTTATGATCTCTACTACCTTGCTTGCCTCAATCCTATTGAACCATGATGGGTTGTTTCCTTCCCTTTCATCACAACCTTGGATACCGATGAAAAGCAACGGAAATTCCTTGTTTGGAAGCAGGTCCACCCAAGTCTGAGCAGAAGCTTTATCATCTTCTTTACATGCGATCAACTCTCCTCCATAAAACATTTCTGAGGGAAGCTGCAGAATTGCTGGATGACACCGATAGTTTCTTACTAGTCTGGTAGCATAATTTTCGTTGAGATCACCATATAACTGGCATTCAAATAACCTTTCCATATATGATGTCCCCAATCCATAATTTTCAGCATCTTTTGAAAAAACTATGGGACCAAGTTGCAGTGGATCACCAGCAAGTACAACTACTGTCTCGTTCCTTAAAAGATGCGACAGAGGAACCATGGTTTCAGGCTCCGATGCCTGTCCTGCCTCATCCAAGAAAATGTGAGAGAAATGTCCCCGTTTAATACCTTCAGCATAAAGAAGAGATGCACTAGCATATGTAGATATGATAATCCTATATCTTCTAAGGTCCCTGAGAAGAGGACACTTGAAGGCATCAACTTCAACATTGCAAAAGCGAATGTGACTAGGATTCACGTCGTCTAAAGGACGTGTGAGTGCATTCAGCCTAAAAATCTCATGGTCCTTCACTTCAACATTCTGCTGACTGACAAGTTTCTCAAGTATATGGTCTGCAGCACTATTCGAAGGTGCGCAGACAAGAACTCGAGCATCTTTCCTCGTAACATGTAGCTGGAGAATAGCTTCTATAAGAGTCCTTGTTTTGCCTGTACCAGGAGGCCCATGGATAACGTACGGAGCTCCGCCTTTGCACCCAAGGATCTTTTCAACTGCAGTCGTCTGCTCCTTGTTAAGCATACATGAAATAGGTGCCAGTCTGGCAGCTTGTATATGTCTCGCTCTGGATATGCCAGATGGAAAGAAAATTTCTCCATTTAAGCTTTCTGTAGCTTCAATGGCTTGGTGTAACCTCCGCACACTCGTACGATTGAATGCAAACTGCACATTATAAAGATTTCCAGCAACATGGTTGATGTGGAATTCTTTATCAAACTTCAAATACACTTCTTCCGCCTCAACTCGGTGGATATAACCCTGTGCAAGAACCACCAAAAATCACCAAGTTCATGTAAATAAATTTCTTCTTTTGATCTCTCAAGTTGATGTATAAAATCTCACAGTTATATGATTATTTCTCTTTTATCTGTTCTTAAACCTGTTCTTATGCATATCTTAGACAAAGAGTGGCACTTTTAACATGTATCTGAGAAAGTGGCAATGCATGTGTCATTGAACAAGGTAGGTGTACTTTCCATTAAAATAGATGAAAATGAAACTGAAAAAAAAAGGGCAGCCCAGTGCACAAATCATCCCGCATTCACGCAGGATCTGGAGAAGGGCCACACCCCAAGGGGTGTAATGCAGGAAGCCTACCCTGACGCATGTATCAGAGGCTGATTGCATAGCTTGAACCTGTGGCCTATAGGTCAGACAGAGATAACTTTATCGTTTCTCCAAGGGCCAAGTCTCCCCTTCATGAAAAAAATGAAATTAAAAACAGAAACAAAACAAGGAAAGACTCAAGGAAGATAATTAATAGCAAAAATGCTGAAGCTCTACCACAACATCTGTAGTCGTAATGGCCAACATGAATATTTCAAGATGAAAAGATTTTAAAGATAATAGGAAGATGACAGGAGGATTAAACACAGAGCATATCTTTTAACTTGGAAAAGCTACAGGTACCATGGATTTATAATTATTTTCACTAAATTACGCAGTAAAGAGAGCTTAAAATTATTAAGTAGCAAGTTATGATAAAAACCAAAGCAAATATATGAAAGCACCTGATAAGGGGTGGTCTCACTTGCATCGGCAGTAGCTATCCTTGCAAAGATATAATCCCCATAAACAAGTGACGGCCTCCTCTCAGCTAGCCCCGGGACATCAAGGGACAAATACTGAGGTCCCCTTCGCTTCATGGTGACGGACTCCATATCATAGTCCCTCATGTCTTCCTGATGCAAAAAAAAAAAAACTAAAAGATTTTTGTACTACCCAAAATGAAGTATTTCAGTACTTCAAATAAAAATTTGAAAACAAACCTCCATCTTGATTTCTTCAATATTTAGTAAAATTCTAAAATAAACAATGTAATTATCTCTTCTTAAACCTTCTCCAATAGCATCAGGAAACTGTTTCTTCTCTATGATTTCCCTTATATCCCCAGGAATGGGATATGAAGAAAGCCTGTATCTGAATCCTTGATTTCGAGCCCTTGTAGGCCGAGAACCCACAACGAATGCATTAGGAGCAAAAACATCTATTGCTGGTGCTTTCTTCTTTCTGTCTCTGTAGTATGGCCTGCTCGAAGCCAGTGACTGCGAGACCTTATCCTCAGCCAGGACAAAAACCAATCTTTCGATGGTCTCATCACCCACATTGATATGCACAGCTGATGTGTGCAACCCAATTTCTTTCGGTTTACAAGACAACCACACTGTTAGTGTCTGACTTGGTCGTAGCATTCTATCCTCTAAGCTAAAGGACTCCATGAATTCTTGAATATATTGCACGTCGGAACATGGAGTTGGAGGTTTCATCAGAGATAACGTGAACGAATCCTCAGGTTTCGAGTCATAAATCTTAATTGACCAGAGCTCCAGCGAATCATTAGTGGTATTCTCTATTGTGATTGAATCGACAATAGTTTCACCAACAATTCCTGATTTAGGTTTTCCCCCTATCAGTGGAAATGGAACAGATATAACAACTATCTCGCTCTCTCCATTTGGATTGTAGCTACAAGCTGATTTATATCTGTCAAAGTCAACGAATCCGATGTCTCCTTTATCAGTAATTACTGAATATTCATCATCCGACTTATCAGCAACTGAGCCCATGAGTACTTGAGAGAATTTCAAGAAGAACCTGCAGCTTTCAACCAAAGTAACATACTTACTGCAACAAAGTAACCCTTCCATAACACTTAAACCAAATTTTCTTTTACACAAATAATCTGATGTTTCAAATAAATCTAAGAAGAAAAGTACAATCAAAATAATGAGAATTAAACCAACAAGCAGCAAATTAACTAGCACATTCAGATTGGGTAACAGAGAAAATCCAGGACTCTTTCATGAAAGAAAACATTAATATGAAATGTAGTTTTCATATGGAAATGTTAATGCACTGTAGAGAACATATCTATTGATACACAGCCTGTAATTTCTTCCATCTTTGACACATTATTCAGGTTAATAGGCCATAGATGCAGAAAACTTTTTTCAAAGAAAGTAATCATAAATTCAGCATGCCAATGTTGTATTGGTGGATTATTCTTATGTATTTAACATTGTTATGAAAGCACATGGTTTTTCATTGTAATTTCTCCTTTTTGATACTCTAGGTGGTTAACCGTTAAATATGCACTCAGTTTTTTAGATACACTGAACGTATATATGAACCTAATCAACTTTTTTAATCACCGAGCACAAGGTTCCAAAGTTAGTCATCCTAAAAAATAAACAGGTGATAGTAACACAACGGCTAATGGACATCACAATTTGTTCTTCCTTCATTTATTTATCTATAAAAACTTCACATGATTCATATAGCAACCGAATTACAAA